CCCCCGGATGGCAGCCTGCGGCAAGTGCAGCCGGGCTGATGGCCGAGTGCTGTGATGTGCCGAGTGTGGGCACTCAGGGCACTCCAAGACAGGACTGCTTTGCTGTCGCTCATCGAGGTAGACAAGCAAGCGGGGAACCCTGAGAAATGTCTCTCTGGGGTGGGGGTTGGGTCCCTTTAAGCACAGACCTTGGCTAGCCTGAGACAGCAGCTCAACGCTCTCAGTACTAACCTGATGCCCTGCCGGCACTGCTTCCGGCCAGGCTTAACTTCGGTTCAGGGTCCACTCAATGTGGACATGCTAGTTAGAATTAGCAAAATGCTAATTCAAACTAGTTTTTAGATCTAGATGCACTAGTTCGAATTAACTTAGTTCGAATTAACTAATTCAAATTAAGTTAGTTCGAATTAGTGCTGTAGTGTAGACATATCCTCTGAGGGGACAATAAGGGAGCCTTGCAAGAAGTGAGTTGAGCCCACGCATTCTCATGATCCCATCTACACCTTTTGGACGTCTCTACGGTGCTGCTGGACTATTTGTTGTTTTTAAAGTTTTTAAAAGCAAAGGTCAAAGTAAGCCCATGCTCCACAGGCTGGCTAGCTGTGGAGCTCTCTATGCTCCAGTCCCAGTACCCAATAGTGCAGTCCCCACTGCCCTGCCCCAACACCAGGGATCTGGCTGCCAGTCAATGCAATCCCTGCCACCCCAGCCAGCCGTGGAGATCCAGTGGCCAATTCTTTGCTCTGACTTCTGTATTCCAAACCCCCTAACCTGAGCACGTCCCAACTACTGATATCCTGCCTGGATTCCTGTACCCCCTACAACACAATCCCCTGCCCTCATCTCTCCCACACTCACCTATCCCTTGCCCTAAGCCCCCCTGCACTCCATACCACACTGAAAGTTCTATCCTGGGAGACAGTGGGTTGTGATAGGACAGTACCTGTAAGAAATTTGTTACTTTCACCCCTGAAAAACTGTATCTCTCTTTTTAAAATATATTCCTCAACTTAACCAGAAGTTATTGGATTGATGAAGCAATCAGTGTAAGGCCATGTGTAATGATCATAAAGGACCACCTTCTAGCCAAATCAATCTATGAATATATAGCATCTAAAGACTTCAGAGGGTTGTTTGTAGGACTAGATTTTTTTTTAAATTGCCTTAGAAATCCATGTCCTCCCTATCTTTTTTTCCCTGAAAGACCTATGGTCACCCTAGGCTATGGCATACTTGTAAAGCAGCTGGATTGAGAGGGGGAAAAAATGTTATGGAGTCTGTTTAAAACTCTTTGTTTTGTGTGCTTGTTTTGTTAACACTCCCACTTAACTTAGACACTCTGCACTTTGAGCTGGAGGAGACACCCTCATGCTGTTCACTGAACTCATCAAGTAGTCACGGCTATCTGCCTAGTGTTTTGGATGGGTATACACTCAGGGCGGTGAGCCCATCCTGCTGTTCTCCCCCTCTTCCCCCCGCTGTTGGTAGCGTGCTAGCAATCAGAATTATGACAGGTCTGTCTGCTGCAGCCAGCAATCAGTGTGAAGTGTGGACACAGTCAAAGATGCCCAATCGCATTTCCTTTTATCAACACAAATGTTTTAATGGACCACAACATCCTTCCCAGAATTGTTAAATATGTTGCAAAAAAAAACAACAGAGGGGGTGAGAACATGTGGGGGTACTGTAGGGGACAGGGAACGGTCAGTGGAGGAGTGACAATGGGGAGGCTGCAGGGGATGGGGGAGGGGTAAGACTGGGGAGGATGTAGGGGATGGGGAAGTGTCGGAGGAGGGGTGAGAATGGGGAGGCTGTAGGGGATGCAGAAGGGTTGGAGGAGGGGCGAGAACTTAATATGCAGCTCCTAATATAGGTGCTACAATCGGCTCCAAATCCAGGGCTGGAGCTGCAGGTGCGAACTTTCCACAAGGGTGGAAGGTGCTCACTGTTCAAGCCTCAGCTCTGCCCTAAGCACTGTCCCCCTCTACCCTTTCCCCCTAGGATCCTACCACTTTCCACCCTCTCCACTGAGCCTGTCACACCCATGCTCCCCCCTCCAGTGTCTCCCACTGAGAAAGAGCTGATCACAGTGGGCAGAAGGAAAAGGAGAAGGATGCAGCACTGACCAGTGGGGATCCCCATGGGTGTGATGTGCTGAGAGTGGTGGTGGGAAGATGATCAGGGCTAGTGACATAGAAGTATTTCTCTTTAACAAGATGCATTGGTAAATTCTGGCTCCTCCTCGGATTTAGGTGGGCCACCACTTCTGTAGGGGGTGAGGAGGGATGAAAATGAGGAGGCTGTAGAGGATGGGGAAAGGTTGGAGGAGGCATAGGAATGGGGAGACATTAGGGAATGGGGGAGAGGTGAGAATGGGGAGGCTGTAGAAGACGGGGAAGGGTAAAAGGAGGGATGGGAATGCTGAGGGGTGAGAATGGAGAGGCTGTAGGGGATGGTGGAGGGGTGAGAATAGGGAGGCTGTACAGGATGGTGGAGGGATGTGAATGGCGACACTGTGGGGGACGGGAAAGGGTTGGAGGATCAGTGAGAAAGGGGAGACTGTAGGGGAAGGGGAAGGGTCAGAGGAGGGGTGAGAATGGGGAGGCTGTAGGGGATGGATAGGGATAAGAATTGGGAGGCTGTAGGAGACAGGGAAGGGGTGACAATGGGGAGGCTGTAGGGCATGGGGAACGGTTGTAGGAGGGCTGAGAATGGGGAGGTTGCAGAGGATGGGGGACCGGGAAAGAATGGGGAGGTTGCAAGGGATGGGGGAGGATCGGAGGAGAGGTGGGAATGGGAAGGCTGTAGGGGAAGGAGAAGGGCTGGAGAAGAGGTGAGAATGGGGAGGCTGTAGGATATGGGGGAGCGATGAGAATGAAGAGGCTGTAGAGAGGGTGAAGGGTCGGGGGAGCGATGAGAATGAAGAGGCTGTAGGGAGGGTGAAGGGTCGGAGGAGGGATGAGAATGAAGAGGCTGTAGGGAGGGTGAAGGGTCGGAGGGATGAGAGTGAAGAGGCTGTAGGGAGGGTGAAGGATCAGAGGAGGGATGAGAATGAACAAGCTGTAGGGAGGGTGACGGGTCGGGGGAGCGATGAGAATGAAGAGGCTGTAGAGAGGGTGAAGGGTCGGGGGAGCGATGAGAATGAAGAGGCTGTAGGGAGGGTGAAGGGTCGGAGGAGGGATGAGAATGAAGAGGCTGTAGGGAGGGTGAAGGGTCGGAGGAGGGATGAGAATGAAGAGGCTGTAGGGAGGGTGAAGGGTCGGAGGAGGGATGAGAATGAAGAGGCTGTAGGGAGGGTGAAGGGTCGGAGGAGGGATGAGAATGAAGAGGCTGTAGGGAGGGTGAAGGGTCGGAGGAGGGATGAGAATGAAGAGGCTGTAGGGAGGGTGAAGGGTCGAAGGAGGGATGAGAATGAAGAGGCTGTAGGGAGGGTGAAGGGTCGAAGGAGGGATGAGAATGAAGAGGCTGTAGGGAGGGTGAAGGGTCGAAGGAGGGATGAGAATGAAGAGGCTGTATGGTATGGGAAGGGTTGAAGGAGGGGTGAAAATGGGGATGCTGTAGGGGAGGGAGAAGGGTCAGATGAGGGGTGACAGTGGGGAGGAAAGGTTTGAGAAAGGGTGAGAATGGGGAGGCTGCAGGGGAGGGGGAAGGGTTGGAGGACAGGTGAGAAGGAGGATGCTGTAGGGGATGGGGAAGGATTGGAGGAGGGATAAGAATGGGGATGCTGTAGGCGACCGGGAAGGGTTGGAGGAGTGGTGAGAATTGGGAAGCTGTAGGGGAGGTAGAAGCGTCAGAGGAGGGGTATGAATGGGGAAGGGTGAGAATGGGGAGGCTGCAGGGGAGGGGGAAGGGTTGGAGGACAGGTGAGAAGGAGGATGCTGTAGGGGATGGGGAAGGATTGGAGGAGGGATAAGAATGGGGATGCTGTAGGCGACCGGGAAGGGTTGGAGGAGTGGTGAGAATTGGGAAGCTGTAGGGGAGGTAGAAGCGTCAGAGGAGGGGTATGAATGGGGAGGCTGTGGGGGACGGGAAAGAGGTGGGGGCGGGGGGCACTGTAGGACAGTGGTCCCCAACGCGGTGCCCGTGGGTGCTATTGCACCCACTGGGCCATTTATGTGTGCCTGCGGAGCAATCAGGGCTGGTCCCGCCCCTGGGCTTGCGGCAGGTGCCAGCCCTGGGCGCATGGGGGCTCCTGCCCCGGGGTCGTGGCACATACCGGTGCCGGCACCGGGCATGCCGTGCCGGGGCGGCCCCTGCCCGGGGTCACAGCAGATGCCGATGCCGACTCTGGCCCCAGCCCCAGGTGCACGGCACATGCTGGTGCCGGCCCTGGATGCATGGCACCTGGGTGGCCCCTGCCCGGGGTCGCGGCACATGCTGGTGCCGGCCCTGGGCACACTGCACATGCTTGGCCCCACCCCCAGGCCCATAGCCCGTGAGCGGCCCCGCCCCCGGATGCACAGCGCCTGGCAGCCCCAAAATGTTGGGAACCAATGCTGAAGGAGATAGGTGAAGGATGAGAATGAGGAGGCTGTAGGCGACTGGGAAGATTTGGAGGAGGGGTGAAAAAAGGAACGCTGTAGGGGAGGGAGAAGGGTCAGAGGAGAGATGAGAATGAGGAGGCTATAGGGGAGAGGAAAGGGGCGAGAATGGGGAGGCTGTAGGGGAGGGGGAAAGGCCAGAGCAGGGATGAGAATGAGAAGGCTGTATGGGATGGGGGAAGGGTGTGAACGGGGAGATTGTAGAGGTCGGGGAAGGGTTGGAGGAGGGGTGAGAAAGGGGAGGCTGTAGGGGACAGGGGAGAGTCAGAGGAGGGGTCAAAATGGGGAAGCCCTAGGGGACAGGGAAGGGACGCAGGAGGGGTTAGAATAGGGAGGCTGTAGGAGATGGGGGAGGGTTATGAAAGGGGAGACTGTAGGGAACAGGGAAAGGTTGAAGGAGAGGTGAGAAAGGGGAGGTTGTAGCGGTCGGGGAAGGGTGGGGTGTGAGAATGGGGAGATTGTAGGGGATGGGGGGGATGTAGGGGATGGGGAGGGTCGGAGGAGGGGTGAGAATGGTAAAGTTGTATGGGATGGAGGGAGTGGCACAGATAGGGAGAAGAGATGAGGGGCATAATAAAGATGCTTAGCTCTTTCCCACCTTTTTTCGCTCCAAGAGTATCTTTTCCTCTGAGGAGAGCCCCGTGCTGGCCAGCCTATGTGTTACACCCGATGGCTACGTCTACACTTGGCCCCTTT